ATGAGCTTATTGAACCAAATGCACATCAACCCATTTGGTTGCTGACCCCGCTGTTCTGGGGGAAACACCCTTTTATTTTAGAGTCTCCAAGTGGTGGGGTGCTATCCTCCTCTTGTGAATCTTAGGGGGAGTTCTACCACAGTAAACCTGGAACAGTCTGTCCCTAAATTTGAAAACTACCTTTTGTTCAGCCTGAATAAGCAGGTGATTCTGTTAGTGCCGCCAGGGTCCTTGAAGATGATGCCCTACATCTGACCAGTGTGAGTGTATATATTTAACCCTCCTGTTCATCATCTCTACTGGGTGCATGCCAGTTTGCTGTGCTGACTGCTCAGGCTGAACCTCAGGGTAGGGCATTGCATGAGAGCCCCCACCGCTGACACTGTCACCAGCAGCCAGCTCCTTTGGCACCTTCTGCTGTGACACATGCGCCGAGCTCTCCTGCGGTGACCTGCTCCTGGCCCGTGCCTTATGCAAGTCCCAGGGAAGTGCTGACACCAGAGGTCTGCTGCACTTAACCAGCAAGGCAGCAAGGGTGCTGGGCTGCAGCTCTGCTTTCCCCACTGGGACAGGACATCCTTTCCTCCTGCAGGATGTGCAGGCTGCACAGAGCAGGGATGGCTGTGATGCGGGACACAACACAATACAAGGAGAATTAATTTTTCCAGACAGCTCTCATTGATGCAAAGCAATGTTTTTTGGAGTCAGGACTGCCCATGCAGCTGCAGTTGCTGATAGAGCTGCTGAAGAGCCTGGCAGTTTGGTGCAGGTGTACCCAGCACTGAGGGTTCCAGTGCTGACGTGGTTCCAGGAGCCTGTGTGCCACGGAAACAAAAGGAACCTGGGGAGACCCGCCTAAAAGATTCCCAGAGAACTGGCACCTCTCAAGAGCCAGTGACACAGGTTGCAAAAGGACAGTGTGTGTGTGTCAGCTGGGCGCCAGGGAGAGGTAGCACAGCCTGCTAAGGGCCCTGATGAGGAAAAGCATGTAATTCTACCTTTAGACTGTATGGTTTCTGTGCCTGGATAATGAAATTTTTATTGTGACAAAATTGTTCAGGGGACTCAGTGGACAGTTTATCAGTGCTTCCCAGGATGATAACGTGTGAAATAGGCCAGAGGAGTTTATGTAGAAAGGAAGGCCCTTGTGGGATATGCAGGCCGAATGGCCAACTGGCACGTTTCTGTGCAAACAGCAGCCCCAGCAGAGAGCTCCAGAGCCACAGGAACAAACCCAGGAGGAGCACAAAGGGCTGAGAGCACTGTTTGCACTGCAACCCGAACCCATTGTAAATAGTGCTGGATTACCAGTGAGAGAGCTGGAATGTTGCAATTTATTGGAGTGTGTTCTGAATGAATACTGCAGACACTCAACATTGCTTGAACTATGGATTTTTAAAGCACTTACTTGTGCTCATTCTTGCACTATAAATGAAGCAGACCTTTTACTACGTAGTGCTTTGGAATTTTTAAAATATCTCTTAGTGTAGGAATCATGTAGTCATTTGTGAGTTTTTCAGGTTAAATAGATTGTGAATGTGTTAAACAGAAAATAACCACGGTATTTCTTTTGTCAAATAAGCAGCTACACTTCATTTTCTGGTCTTTGCTACTGTCATGATGTACTTTGCTGCTGAGATCTGCAGCTGTTCATTTACACGTTAATCTAGTCCACACATGAATGAAGGTAGGAAATGATTGTGGCATTACTTTCCTTTAGTAAGTGCCTGAAGTGAAAACAAAAACTCTTAAAATGAGTCTGATTAATATTTATGAGTAACCTGAGACCCCCCCATTAGATGCAGTCTTGAACTCCATTAACACTCAGTTCAGTGAGGCCTGGCATTTATGGATATTGAGGTTGCTGACTTAGATTTCCAAGGTCTGTTTTATAGAATAATTGGAGCTCCCAATTGCTAATGAGTATTGTGCACATACAGGGATGACTGAATTCTCCAGTGCCTGGTAATCACAAATTGCTGGCCTTTCAATTGCCAAGTGTAATATATTGCTAATATATAGGTGTCATCACCCTACACATTCAGCTCACAAGTCAGACCACCCGAAAGGATTTGAAAGATGACATTCCTCCAAATGGACTTTGTTCTTTTAAATTAATTTATTTTCTGAACCAAATTGTAACTAGCCTCAAAGTTCAATGCTTTGAATTCAAACTCCAGGCCAAATTTTGAAGTGATAGATTTCAATAAGGAATGAACTGACACCACAGATAAAAAAGTTTCTCATGCCTGAGGATTTTGTAATAAAAATGTTATGGTTTCTGTGAATATCTGGTTTAAAGTGTAATGGGCAGGAAAAGCAATAAGAAGACTGGGCATTTCACCAGTTTTATAGGGTCAGCTATGCTGAAGTGTTATTACAGTTAAATTTTTACCAGTTTTGTCTGTGTTTCTGTGTGCACATACACACACATATATTTATAAATACTTATGCATGTGTATAAAAATATATACTGGAAATGGCAACTGATTGCTTTATATGGAGAGACAAGAATTATCAGCCTAATATGCCCATTCCCAGATACCTCATTCCATAGATGTGATAACCCAATGATTAACAGTGCTTTGCTATCTATAAAAATGTGGATTCCTTTTGGGCATTAATTAACAGTGACTGCTGTCATTGCCAGATATTATGGAAGGGATATTGCAATAGCAGGATCTGCAAGGCTCTGGGATGCTTTGTTCTTCTTTACGTGCAGGGCACTGTCATTTATCTTGACTCAAAGCAAGCTTAGTTCATTTCTGTTGGGATGTTTCTGGAAAGGTTGCTGGATTATCAATAGTTACTTTAGATGTACATGCCAAAGGGAAAGGAACACAGAGGAAACAGTAATAAAATAGAGGTTTAAATTCCTTCGTGAATTTTGTTATGAACAGTGAAAGGGCACAGCAGTCAAATCAAATTGATGCCTGACAGTCATGGGAGATGTGAGTTTTCCTGTGGGAAGTAATGAGATCTGATTGGCAGAGCTTCAGCTAATGCACAGACCAGAAATATTGCTCTCTCTTTGGACTTGGGTTCTTTTCTCTTCTATAGCCTCTGTGAGTTTTATTCATAGACCTTGGGGAGGACTTGAAAGAGAGACAAGGGAAACAGTCCACTGAGGTTTAGCAGAACAAAAGAAATCCAAATGTTCTAAGACATGGAAATGCAATAATGAACCCCAGTTATCTATGTGTGCAATATCTATACTGTTACAATTAATAATTTATTGTCCCAATGTCCTGGATTAGAAGATTTTTAAAGATTCATTAGGATTGACTTTCTTCTTTGGAATGCTCTTAGGTATTTTGAAGATTGAGCACTGTAATTTGGGAGAAGACACATTGCCTTTTGCAGATGCAGAAGTTCCATTCGTGCTTCAAGAACAAAATTAAATTCGGAATTAGAGACTGAATAATCCCTCTTACAAAATTGTGAAATGCCTTTGCTAAAGTGCATCAGAACTTGTCCTTTCTACTTCAGGTTTTCATTCACATTCTCTGAGAAGCAATTTCTCCATCACAGTTTTGTGTTCCATTTCCAATTGGAACTCACATCCAAATTATCTGTGGGCTGCAGCTTTCCTTGTGTCCTGGCACTCTATCCTGAAAAATGCTTTTTCACAGCAGGTCATTGATCTTCTAGTCTAGCTTGAAGGTAGCTAAAATGTCAATATAGCTTCTAGCCATTTTTTTCCTGTTCTTTTTTCCAGTGATGTATGAATTATAATAATACTGAAAATGTATTCCCTAATCACTGGCTAAGGATTAGGGATTTGTACCATGGAATTCTTCCCCCATATTGAAGTCATATCTTAAATTGGAAAACACACCAAGAAAGCTAATACTGTCCTTTTAATACTGTCCTTTTTGGCCCTCTACATTGCCTGCTGTGTTTTCTATAAACAATTAAGTTCATGACATTAAAAATTATAACATGATTACTCAGCTGACTATATCCCAAGAGAGTAAAAGGGCCTGTATGCCCATGCAGTGCTTCACCAAGAACAACACTAAATGCTTGAAAATTAGTCAAACATGCAAAATTAAAAAAAAAAAAATGTTGGCAGGAACAATTGCAGTTTCTTGCCCACCTCTGTCCATGCTGGCAGTAGCAAGCACTGCTAGGTGACAGTGTCCTTCATCCGAGGCCAAATCTCATCAGTGAGATATGGATTCAAAGTTAAGAGTGCCCAGGAGAGGGAGGGAGTGGATTTGCTTCCTTAGCTGTAAGTGCTTTAATGGCAGTAGGGATGTGGCACAGCCAGAACCAGAAAAGCTCCATTTCAGGCATGTGATGAGGCTGTTGGTGTTTCTGTTGCTGCCCAGGAAGCTGGAATGGCAGCAGCACAAGGGAATGGATACCAGAGGTAAATGCAGAGACCAGATGTGTCAGGAGAGCTTCAGCCACAACATTGCAGCTCATTTGCAAAGAAGTAGTAAAGTTATAATGGAGCAGAAGGGAAAGAACAAACTTCTCGTGGCATATTCTAAAAGAATCACAAGAATTTGTGAAATTTGTCTTGTGATGTTAAAGGGAAGGGCCAAAGGGAGGGGCTAGAGGGATCAGGGAGGTACAAGTGCAGAGCAGTGGAGAGGAGGGGGCATGGAAGGGTCTGGTTGAGTGTCGGGATGAGTTCTCTGATGAGTTCTTCCTCTGGTCACTACAAACTGTCCCAGCTCTTCACTAACTCGTTCCACTCTCTATAACAAGTCCTAATAGTTATAGCAGGCAGAAGAAAGTTCTATCTAAACCACAAATCCTGCTTTCTAGAGAATCCAACTTCCCACGTAATTTATGAAATCTGAGGACATCTGAAACTAGGGTGCTGTGAGTTGAAATCTGCTATATTTGCAACTCCTGGCTAGATAAGTCTGCAGTGCTCCACGAATGAAGCATTAAATGGTGCTGTATTTTTAAACTTGCGAAAACTTTCAAATTCTGTGAGCAGTGATTTTTGCATTTTAACTGGTTTGACTCCTTGCTCTCCCTAGGGGAAATGGAAGAGTTAGAAACCCTGTGGCTGACTGGTATTTGTCACAACGAGAAGAACGAAGTCATGAGCAGCCAGCTGGACATCGACAACATGGCAGGAGTGTTTTATATGCTTGCAGCAGCCATGGCACTCAGCTTAATAACCTTTGTCTGGGAGCACTTATTTTACTGGAAACTTAGATTCTGCTTCACTGGAGTCTGCTCGGATAGGCCGGGATTGCTGTTCTCAATCAGCAGGGTCAGTACTACTTTCATTTTTCTCCTTTAGGCAACAGAAGAAATAAGCACTTCTGCCCTAAAATATTATCCTTCCTTTCATTCCCACCTGAACATTTAAAATCCAGGTCAGAGCAGCAGTGTGGTGCTCTGGAGTAGTCAATGGGCTTAGGATGTACTTGCACTCCTTGGGAAGTCTTAATCAATTGGACATTTTAGGGTATGAATTATAATATGCCAGGATAATCAGTAATTGAATAGTGAAAACAAACACAGTAAGGGGAAATTTTGATGAAGAAATTGTAGATGCAGGAAATTTATTAATTCACATATTAAAAGTCCAAACAAAATAAATACTAATTTGATAAGATTAAGTGTTGGCTTTGTGCATTTCTTAAGCAAGAGAATTTTAAGATATAAAAATTACAGCATAATATTTTTGTGAGCTTTTTTGATTAAAAACTTGAATAAACTGTATGAGAAAAGGTCAAACAGGTATCATTTATGTCTGCTTAGACACTAAGGCAAGTTTTAATCATAGCTTTACCAGACCCAAAGGAGATTTACATATGTAAGCAACTCTTTCTTGTAAAAAAAAATGGAAAAATGAGCTTATTCTATTATTTTTGACAAAGTGGTTGGGTTTTTTCTTTATATATTTTTAAAACAGATAGAACTTTCATTAGGTAATTGATTTTTCTGGATTTTTTATATAGCTGAGGAGAACTGAAAATGATACTAAAATGGCTAATTGCTTTAAAGTGTGCTGCAATTACCCTGTTGAGTAGATTGGAGCATTTTGGAATTGCATTAAAATAGTCGGCAGTACCCTGTTGGGGATTGTCTAGAAACCACATGCACCTTAACATCCACATTTTATATTTGAACTTTATGTTTTTGGCCTTTTTTTATATGAAATTCTCCTAAGAAATGCAGGGGAAAAGGAGTATTTATGTCAGTGGAAAAACGTCTGGGAATTGGTAGTTCACAGGGTTGGAAATGTCAATTGGGCTCACAAGAGTGACCGAAGAGGTTGAAGTGAGAAAATGGGCTTCAGCATTTTGCTCAAAATTAACTCAGATGAAGCTTTAGAAAGAGCGGGGTTTGTTTTTTTTTTTTCAAATGTACTGGGATAGGGATCAGAAAAGCTAAACTATGATGACTAGAAGGCTTCTGATTTCAGTACAAGGGAAGAGTACCTTAATCTCCAATAAAATAGTCCCACTACAGGCTTGTTTGGAGGGGAAACAATCACTGGTTTAAAATAAGAGAGTATCTATTACTGAAGACTAGTTTCATTTTGTGATAAGATTAGGGAACCCTTTGGGGGGTATCTTCTAATCTTGTATTCTGGAATAAGCTCAGGAGGCCAAGACAGACCACTGGTTTGTGAAATACTGGCAGTTTTTCTCCTTTGTAGTTCTGTTACAGCAGAAAATATTCCTCCATTTCAATGCAAGGGAATGATAAAAAGTTAGAGATGTACTTTTAATCTTCCCAGTAATGAGATAAGAAATGTTTAATTTTTCTTTATTGCTAATTAAAACTAAAATGGAAGTTGTAAAAAGTTATACCTAGTGATTTAATTTGTTTTATATTACTTGTATTACAGGGTATTTACAGTTGCATTCATGGAGTACACATTGAAGAGAAGAAGAAGTCTCCTGACTTTTCTTTGACCAATTCACAAACCAACATGTTAAAACTGCTGCGAACAGCGAAAAACATGACCAATATCAATCCTTCAAGAATTGACTCCCCCAAAAGAACAGCTGATTTTATTCAGAGGGGTTCTTTGATTATGGACATGGTCATGGATAAGGGAAACTTGATCTTTTCTGATAACAGATCCTTTCAGACAAAGGATAACTTTTTTGGTGACAACATAAGTGAACTGCAGACACTTCCTGGCAATCGACACAAGGACAATCTGAACAACTATGTTTTCCAAGGGCAGCATCCTCTCACACTGAATGAATCCAATCCAAATACAGTAGAGGTTGCAGTAACAACAGAAGCAAAAGTGAACTCCAGACCCAGGCAGCTTTGGAAGAAATCTGTTGAATCTTTACGGCAAGATTCTGTACGTCAGGGCCAAGGTTCCCAGAGAGAAAACGGGTCAGAGGAAAACAGGCAGCTTTCATTGAAAAGCCCAAGATACCTTCCTGAAGAGATTGTCCATTCAGATGTCTCAGAGACATCAAGCAGAGCTACTTGCCACATGGAAGCTGAAAACAACAACAAACACCACAAAACCAAGGACAATTTTAAAAAAAGGACAGTAGCATCAAAATACCCAAAAGACTGTAGTGATGTGGAACTGACATATCTGAAAACCAAACAGGGCTCTCCACGGGATAAAATCTACACGATTGATGCTGACAAGGAGCCAGGATTCCGCTTGGACACACCTCAGTACATTGAAAACATTGTCCTTCCAGAACCTGTAGAGCTTCCTGATGTTTACCAAGACCACAATGACAACTACAGGAAAGCCGAACACGCTAACAGGACTCCATCACATAATGAAGACAGTCTTCCAAATAATGACCAGTTTAAACTTTATGGAAAGCACTACACTCTCAAAGAAAAAAATACTTCCCTAGGTGACATGAACGATAGGTACAGGCAGAATTCCACGCACTGCAGGAGCTGTCTCTCCAACATGCCCACCTACGCGGGGCACTACTCGACCAGATCTCCCTATAAATGCGATGCATGCTTGCGGATGGGGAACCTCTATGATATTGAGGAAGATCAGATGCTGCAGGATACAACGAACTTATCACTTCCTGAAGAAATATATGAGCGTACTTGGTCGCAAAGTAGTGCTCTGCAATATCATAAAAAGAATAAACTGAGGATTAGCAGGCAACACTCTTTTGATAATATTGCTGATAAGTCCAGGGAAATTGATATTGGAAGACCTTCTCGTAGTATAAGCTTGAAAGAAAGAGAGAAATTTCTTCAAAGTAGTCCGTATGCAAGCATGTTTAGTGTTCCCTCAAGCAAACTGTTGAGCAACAAGGCCTCACTTTTAACTCATGCTCTGGAGGACAGTAAGCGGAGCAAGTCCCTGTACGCTTTTCACTCGGATGATAACCCCTTCCTGCACTCCTATCGTGATGACCAGCATTTGTCTCTTAGGCGAAGTCCAGCTGATCTTTATAAACACTCATTGCCAACAAGAGGAAGAAATGATAATTATTTAAGGTCATCCATACAGTCCACAGCATCATACTCTTCCAGGGATGGTCGGATCCATAATGACATGTACATTTCAGAGCATGTTTTGCCTTACGTTGCAAATAGGAATAGCTTGTACTCAACTCCAAGGGTTTTAAATTCCTGTAGCAATACACGTGTGTATAAGAAAAGGCCTAGCATTGAATCAGATGTTTAAATTTTCCATGAACACTTTATCTATAGGGGAAGAATAGTTGCCACCATCTTAGAGGGAGAATTTTTCCTTTAACAGTATCCTGCTCTGGTAAATGATACGTAAACCTCTCCCTTTCCCAATGTACTTTTGTACATTAATAGGTAAACTGGTATGCTCTGATCTATCCTTTTAAAATATGTCTTGTTAAAAAGGATAAAAAATAGCCATTTATGTGTGCTTTATATATAAATGGCAAGTTGTACTGAAATAGCCCCAATATATGTTGGCAACTATGCTGTTTTGTACCTAATTATTTTACTATTTCGGTTATTCTAATTTATGTTGCTAAGTATCATTCAATGTACTTTTGTCCTTAGAAATGTTTAATGATTTTCTAGTACTGGATAAGCAATATGGTATGCATGTAGTATGACACAGACAACAAGAAATAGGGATGCATTTGCACAGATTCAAAAGTAAAAGAGAACAGAAAGCTAAGACTTCCAAAAATATATTTTAGCTTCATAATAATTTTCAAAACCAAATAATATTTTAAAAAAACCCCAAACCCCAGGACCTTAATAAATAAAATACAGTGTGTTAGCACAAAATTAGGATGTTCCTTCTAGACTGACAGACAGTAGATGGGAAGGCAGTAACCCCAAACATGTGAACTGCTGTGTACCAAAAGGAAGCCCCATGGATATTGGTTAATGCTCATGTACAAATGCTTTTCTTATATTGCACATGCACTTACCATTACAAAATAAGTTCATTGAAAAGTTTGCAGTAAACTTGTCAGAAATTTCACAGCTGCCTAATCCAGAGTATATATTTTTAGATATCACTATATGGCACTTACTATGGAGCTGTGGACTTTATTAGTAACCTTGAGGCCTAATGTGTACGTAAGTTTGCATTTGCCCCTTACTGGTGATTACTCAGGGCTGTATAGTATTTCTTTTATTCCTTCACTTCCCAAACCAAATCCCAACCCACTGTAGTTCTTTGTTCATAGTGTATTAGTGACAACTAATTAATTGTATATTAATAGTACTAAAGCTGTTAATACAGTATCAAACACCGACAGCCATAAGTTCAGTGTGGTCAGTGAGGAGCGTGGTACCATTTATTTCCACACATAAAGAAGGATTAACACCTTTGGAAGGACTTCTTCCTTCCACAATACTGTGCATATTTGTTGAACATCAGACCATTTTTCTAACCTCTCCAATCAAGTCTGTTGTATAAAGTGAATATATGCACACATAACTAAGAAACAGTATCTTTATTATCACTTACTGATACACAAAGGTTTTCTCATAACAGGGATGCTTTGTTATATGACTTTACATTCTATAGATGTCAATCAGACTATTTCACAAATAAAATGTCTGCTACACACCCCTCCAAACCCTCACTGGAATAAAAAAACCCACTAGACTTTAACCATAAGGGAGCATGAAAGGGAAGAGAGGAAGCCTGTCAGGAGAAGAGTGTACAGCTGCAAATTTAATTTCAACTAAAGAAGTATATATAATTACTAATACATTTAACTACTGAAAGTGTTCCAGAGGTGTTGCTCTCCCATTTTCCTGCTACTCTAAGAATTGCTTTAGGATTTTTGTGTAGAGGAAAATTAGATTATTCAAGCGTTATTCCCTCCATTTCACTGAAGAACAGTGAGCAGGGAAACCATTACCACTGTGAACTGGAAAATGTGAATATTATCCTAACTTTTCTCTAAACTGAAACTCTTTTCAGCAGAATCGTGCCTGTCAGCTGTAATTGAAGCATCTGCATGCCAGAGGTGCAGTATGCAAGGTGTTTAATTTAGAACAGCATACTGCAGAGCAGAGTTGCAAACAGGAGATAATATAAATGATGTGTAGGGATAGACAAAATAAAGCTTCTTGAATTTTGTTTACAGCTTTTTTTTTTTTTTTAATTAAACAGATTTAAAGTGACTTTGGCTATCAAAGTCCAGAATGAGTTCTTGGTATTTGCAAATGTATTTGTACCTTCACCATGATGATGAAGGATGATATTTTTAAGGAATGAAATGTATTGAGATTTGGACTTCCAAGTCTCTTTCTGGCTTCCAAAAATCTCAGTATACTTTATTATAAGTATGATCAGAAAGCATATCTATGGTTATCTCTGTGCTGTTCAGGTAAAAACATGATTTGGGTATTCTTTATTCAACATTTGGTCATAATTATTGGCCCTGATTCACATGGGGTGCTTTCTGATTCCTCACTGGAGGGAGTTTTTATAAACAGAAGTTCCTCACCTGCCCATAGAGAGATTTCTTAGGAAGAGTTGTGTGAGCTAAGCAGGGTTAGGATGTCAGTGGGATGAACACTACTTGTCATGAACCCAAACCTTTTCCCAAAGATACAGGTATGCTTTGCTCTTATGTCTACAGGAAGGCAAATGCACTGAAGGCATAATGTTGTAATGACTACAATAAAAATATTTCAGCCAAATTTGAATATCCAGTCCAAATCATAGTATATTAACTACAATCCAAAGTGTTTTGAACTATCTGTGTGTTTCAGCAGATATGATATTTGCTGATGTCATGCCAAATCCTGCCATGGAAGTTGCTGAGCATTTTACCCAGTAAATCATAAAACTCAGTGGTGGCTCTTGTCTTTCACATCATCATTAAGCTCTCAAGGATTTGTTGATCGCTTCAAGTCTTTTGTATCATCATCTCTATCTAACCAGACACACATTATTCAATATTTATATGAGTACTGTATGGGAAGCTGTGGGAAAGAAAAATTCCCATTTACATTTTCTCTCTTGAGATTCAGTTGTAAACCTCCTCAACCCAGGTGGATTTATCTTTCTGTGAAATGTACAAGCAAATTAGCTACAACAAAATGTATTGCAGTGTTTGCTTTTTCTGATTTGAGCAGATTTCTGGTGACTGTAGAGATTTATTATTATTATTATCTGCAATATGCAATACAACCACCTGCCCTAAACTAAAATAACGAGACTGAGGGAAGACTTGATAATGTTGCACAGCAGTTGTTCACATGGAAATATAAGATGCTGCCTTAAAGAGGGAGAAAACCCCACCAGATACTGAAAGTAGGGGGAGTAAGAGTCTGCATGCTTTTGTTGTTTTGATCTTGGCATAAATCCGAGTCGATAAAGGGGGAAGGAGAGCTGAGGCAGGGCTGTGGGCAGTAGCCGGTGTGCTTGCAGATGTGCTCGTGTAAAGAAGAAGCAGCTGAGAAGTTGAAGAAAAAATCTTCAACAGAGTCACAAGCCACAGCTTGTGAGGCTCAGCCTAGAGCGCGTGGAATTCTGAATTTTGCCTGAGCTTTGTTGATATATTTGCACTGACTTTCAATTAAACCGAGATCAAGACTTTCTGTATTTCCCTCTCTCTCACTCTAGCTGCTGCTATACTTGAAGAGGAGAAAAGAATCTTCCTGCATAAGTGGCCATCCTTTCTGTACCTTTCTGGATGGTGCTGGTGACTTGTTACATTTTCCTGATTACAGCTCTAGCAGTTTGTTGGTCATTCCTATCACCACGATTTCCTGTGACTCCAGCTGGAACTGAATCAGGCTGTAAATGATATGGGCCATTCTTGGTAGCATGTCCTGTAGTGTTACACTGCTCCTGGACGACACCTTTTGTGGAGGCAGGATATTGAATTGCTGAGGAATGCAGTAGGTACATGGAGGTAAAAACAGCTATGTAGACATACCTGCCTCTTGCTTTTTTCCTCTTTTAAAGATATTGTAGAATTTATTCATGTTATTGTCTTTCCCTTTTCACCACAGTAAATTTTCCTTTTTTCTCTCAAATAGATTTTGTGTTCTGCTTGTGTTTCTTAGAACAGTGTAGCCACCCACTAATTTAAAAGCATGGAAATAAGATATTTTAATATATAAGATAAAATTAAGGAAAATTAAGAGATTTTGCATTTCTGGAAAATTTAATTTAATGTTTTTGCAGCTTTTGCTCAGAACTCATTACTCTGCTGTCTAAGAAGCTTGGTTAGGAGAAAGTGTGCTGTGGACAAACAGAAATGAAATCACCGCCAGCTCACCGTGTTTTGGCAGCATCTCATAAATACATGTCTCTTTATGGTCTTTCAGGAACACTTAAGAGGTGAAATAAGGCTCACAAGAGAAATCAGGTGTGTCATTTTGTTTTTTTGTCCTGATGAAAGCAAATATTTTTATACAGTTTTAAAGGAAGCAAAAGCTAGAGCTGTGTGAGTAGCTTTGAGTTTCTGTGCTGGCAGGCTAAGCTCTTTCTGTTACCAGTGGGGAGAGAGAGAGAGAAAGCAAGAGAAAGTGAGCTCCCTGTGGATGGAGGTTCAGAGGACTGAAGGCTCTGGAGCAGTTATGTGGGGGATGTGTCCAGGAATATATTACCTCCCTCTGTTGACTTTTTAGAAAGTATAGGCTCCTAACTCAGATAGCTCAGTTAGGTGGGCTTAGAAAAGCAATGGTCTGTTTACCCCCAGCCTCAAAAATCTGCCAGTGACTACCCTGTTCAGCCTTGGAGGTGTTATTGGTTCCATGCAAATAGGGTTTTCTGTGGGGTTTGCAACACTTCCTGCATAGTTGGCGTAATAATTTGCTTTATACCATGTGACTACTCAGCAGGGGAGAAAAGTGTCAGAATCTAATCCTTGTGTAATAAATTGCTACTTTCACATTTCTGCAGTGTAGCATATGCACTTTAGAGGCAGGGAAGATTTTGGTACTGTTCCCTCCCCTGCTGGGTTTATCAACACAGAACAGAAATTGTGTCACAAATCTAAGGGTCTGAGAATCTGCCTGGATTTAGGAAGAATTCAAGAGGTGAATTTTTTTGTTGTTGTTGTTTTATATTGCATTTAAGATATTTGATATATAAAACCTAGTGAAAACAGAACTTTTATGAAAAAATCCTCTCCTGCTTAATATAAAAGAGTAACTATCCTGTGGCTTGGCTAGATTGTATCAAGTGTTAATCATCACATCGTGTGCTTCTTTCAAGAT